ACTTTGGGAGGCTGAGGCAGTTGATCAGTTGAGGTCAGGAGTTCGAGACCAGCCTGACCAACATGGTGAAACCCCATCTCTACTACAATACAAAAATTAGCCGGGCGTAGTGGCGGATGCCTGTAATCTCAGCTACTTGGGAGGCTGAGGCAGGAGAATTGTTTGAACCCCGGAGGCGGAGGTTGTAGTGAGCTGAGATGGCGCCACTGCACTCCAGCCTGGGCAGCAAGAGTGAAACTCCGTCAAGGAACGAAGGAACGAAGGAAGGAAGGAAGGAAGGAAGGAAGGAAGGAAGGAAGGAAGGGAGGGAGGGAGGGGGGGAGGGAGGGATGGATGGGGGGAGGGGGAGGGAGGGAGGGAGGGGGGGAGGGAGGGAGGGAGGGAGGGAAGGAGGGAAGGAAGGAAGGGCCAGTTTGAATGTATCCTTTCAGATCTTTTCCTGTGCAAATATAGAGGTGAATGAAAACTCGAAGGCCTGATGTGTCCCACCCTCATCCTGGGGTCAGCTTTGCACAGGGTAAGAGAGGAACATGCTATCTAAAAGAAGAGTGGGAGCTGAGTGTGGTGGCTCATGCCTGTAATCCCCAGCATTTTGGGAGGCCGAGCCAGGTAGATTACCTGAGGCAGGAGTTCGAGACCAGCCTGGCCAACATGGTGAAACCCCGTCTCTACTAAAAATACAAAAAATTAGCTGGGTGTGGTGGCAGGTGTCTGTAATCCCAGCTACTTGGGAGGCTGAGGCAGGAGAATTGCTTGAACCTGGGAGACGGAGGTTGCAGTGAACCGAGATCGCACCACTGCACTCCAGCCTAGGTGACAGAGCAAGACGCTGTCTCAAAACAAATACACAAATTAATTTAATTAAATAAATACAAGAAGAGTGGTGTCTTCTCACTTCCTCAAGTCTTTCTGTAGCTACAGGTGGGCCATCCAGATGGCTCTGTGTTGGGCATTTCTCATATCCAGTAGGCCCAGGACCTCTGAGCCAAGGAGGTGAAACACAACCCAAGCCCACTGTGAGCAGGGAATTTGGGCAGTTAACACTTTGGAAACCAGACCCTTCCTATGGTGCAGCTCTTCAGCCCCACCCTGAGCTGATGGGAGGATTATACTTGTCTTGTTGCAGTTGGGAACAGCCACGTGACTGTGACTGTAAGAGCCGGGGCTCTATCACCATGGTGAGATAGCAACACCATAACACCTTGAGTTTTTTTTTTTTTTTTTTTTTTTTTGGTGACAGCTTTATTGCTGTTATAATTGCTGATATAATTCACACACTCTCTTTTTTTTTTTTCTTTTTGAGATGGAGTCTCACTCTGTCACCCAGGCTGGAGTGCAGTGGTGTGACCTTGGCTCACTGCAACCTCTGCCTCCTGGGTTCAAGCAATTCTCCTGCCTCAGCCTCCTGAGTAGCTGGGATTTCAGGCACACACCACCACACCTGGCTATTTTTCATATTTTTAGTAGAGACAGAGTTTCACCATGTTGTCGCCAGGAGTTTGAGACCAGCCTGGCCTCAAGTGATCCACCCGCCTTGGCCCCTCAAAGTGCTGGGATTACAGGCATAAGCCACCACCACCTGGCCTACTGCATTTTAATTATGCATTCCTCAGTCGTTTAGATTGTTTTCACGTTTGGCCTATTATGAATAATATTCCTATGAACATTCGTGTGTAAATTTTTGTGTGGGCATGTGTTTTCATTTCTGCTAGGATTTGAATTGCTGGGTTATATGGTAACTTCATGTTTAATTTTATTTATTTATTTTTTTTTTATTTTTTTTTTTTTTGAGACGGAGTCTTGCTCTGTCGCCCAGGCTGGAGTGCAGTGGCCGGATCTCAGCTCACTGCAAGCTCCGCCTCCCGGGTTTACGCCATTCTCCTGCCTCAGCCTCCCGAGTAGCTGGGACTACAGGCGCCCGCCATCTCACCCGGCTAGTTTTTTTTTTTTTTGTATTTTTTAGTAGAGACGGGGTTTCACCGTGTTAGCCAGGATGGTCTCGATCTCCTGACCTCGTGATCCGCCCGTCTCGGCCTCCCAAAGTGCTGGGATTACAGGCTTGAGCCACCGCGCCCGGCCTTAATTTTTTTAAGAATTGCCAAACTGCTTGCCATTCCCACCAGCAGTGTATGAGAGTTCTAGTTTCTGTACATCCTTGCCAACACTTGCTATTATCTGAGATTTTGATTATAGTCATGCTAGTGGATAGTGGGTGTGTTTTGATTTGCTTTCTTTGGTCACCCACGCTGGAGTGCAGTGGTGCAGTCATAGCTCACTGCAGCCTCCAGCTCCTGGGCTCAAGCAATCCTCCCACCTCAGCCTGTCGAGTAGCTGGGACTACAGGCACACACCACTGAACCTGGCTAATTTTTCTATTTTTTTGTAGAGATGAGGGTCTTGTTATGTTGCTTTTGCTGATCTGGAGCTCTTGGGCTCAAACAATCATCCCAACTCGGCCTCCCAAAGTGCTAGGATCACAGGCATGAGCCACAGTGCCTGGCCTTGCATTTTCTTAGTGGCTAATGATGTTGAGCACCTTTTCATGTCCTTATTGGCCATTTGTATATCTTTGGAGAAATATCTATTCCAATCTTTGGCCCATTTTTAAATTGGGGTATTTATCTTTTTATTATTGAGTTGTAAGAGTTCTTTATATATTCTAGCTGCAAATCACTTATCAGATATGATTTGCAAATTTTTTTTTTCCCCATTCTCTGGTTGTCTTTTCACTTTCTTTTTTGTTTGTGGTTGGTTTTTGTTTTTTGAGACAAGGTCTTACTCTGTCCCTCAGGCTAGAGTGTAGAGGCGGGATCTTGGCTCACTGCAACCTCTGCCTCCCAGGTCCAAGCGTTCTTCCCACCTCAGCCTCCTGAGTAGCTGGGACCATAGAGGCAAGCCACCACATCCGACTAATTTTTGTATTGTTTATAAAGATGAGGCTTCACTATTCTGCCCAGGCTGGTCTCGAATTCCTGAGCTCCAGCAATCCGCCTGCCTCAGCCTCCCAAAGTGGCGTGAGCCACTGCGCCTGGCCTTTTTCATTTATTTATTTAATTTTTAGAGACAGGGTCTCACTCTGTTGCCCAGACTGAAGTACAGTGGCATGATCATAGCTCACTGCAGTTTCAAACTACTGGGCCCAGTGGATCCTCCTGCCTCAGCCTCCTGAGTATCTGGGACTACAGGCACACACCGCCACACCGGGTGTTTTTTTTTTTTTTTTTTTTTTTTAGTGTTTTATTTTAAAGACAGGGGTCTTGCTATGTTGCTGAGGCTGGTTTTGAACTCCTGACCCCATTGATCCTCCTGCCTTGGCCTCCCAAAGCTCTGATATTACATGTGTGAGCCACCTTGCCCGGCTTTGAGTAATTTTATTTTACCGCAGTAGACATCTCCTTGAAGGCAAGCGTTTCCCCCAATTCTTAGCACCGTATTTGGCACACAATAGGAGCTTAATAAATATTTGCCATAAGAATGAATGCTCAGAAACTCCACTATTACATCCTATCTGCTCAACAACTCCCTGGAAAAGAGATTTTTTTTTTATGGTTACTATAAAAGGCCCAGATTAGTATTTCATTGGCCTAACTTGGATCACGTGCTCATCCCTGAACCAATAAATGGGGCTGAAGGGATGAAATATGCTAATTGGCCAGCTCTGGTCACGTGTCCATTTTTGGAGCCAGGGGAGTGGGGAGGGCTATTTTCCTGAATTGAGAATAGGGTGAACTGGTTCCCTGAAGACTAACCAAGACGCTAATGCAAAGCAGGACACTCCTACTGGGCAGGCAAAAATGATAGAGGCTCAGAGAAGTAAAATAACTTGCCCAAGGGCCATAGAGCTTTAAGCAGTAGCATCTTTTTTTTTTTTTTCAATCTTGCTTTGGGCTTGGACAGACTAGTTCAGCATCTTTGATCTTCCCTTCCTGCCTGACTGCCCCAGGGTCAGAATTCTAGGTGCAATTTTGTCTTTTGCCAAAAGCTGGAATTTACTCTCTTGGGCGTTTATAAATAAGGAAAAAAGTTCTTTGAAGAGCCTGAACTTTGAAATCAGAGAAGTCTGGATTTTAGTGCTGGCTCCGCCTTTTCTAACTGCCTCACCTGGCGCATGTTATTATCTCTTTAAGTCTCAGTTTTGTTCTTTTTTATTATTTTTGTTTGTTTGTTTGTTTGTTTGTTTGCGACGGAGTCTCACTCTTTCACCCAGGCTGGAGTACAGTGGCACGATCTCGGCTCACTGCAACTTCTGCCTCCAGGGTTCAAGCATTCTCGTGCCTCAGCCTCCAGAGTAGCTGGGACTACAGGCGCGCCCGGCTACTTTTTTGTATTTTTAGTAAAGACGGGGTTTCACCATGTTGGCCAGGCTGGTCTCGAGCTCCTGACCTCAAGAGATCTGTCGGCCCCGGCCTCCCAAAGTGCTGGGAAGATGGAATGAGAGAAATCCCTCAATAAATGTCACTCACTGTTACTACTTTTATATCGAGAATGTGTGGAATTTCTAAAATTTCACTAACAAAGTATCTAGAAGGACCTAATATCAAAGTGTTCACAGCAGTTATTAGTTTTAATTCGTTTTCTTCTTTATACCGTATCCACTCTACCACTCATGCCACAGGTATTAAGCATCTGTGTGCCACCCAGGCCCTGTGTCAAGAGTTAGGAATAACTAGAGGAGATACTAATTTTAAAACTACACAAATAATTGCAATCGTCATACGTGCCTGTTTTTACAAAGCAGAAATCAGGAAAAATAAAGTATTTCCGATAAAACATATTTTAAGGTTATATACAGAGATGTATACAAACAAGCGATGGGCTTGGATCACTAGTGATTTTGGAAAGGACAGGAATACAGGAACTAAGCGAGGAGCTGGCAAGAGAGGCGGGAGAGGACGGAAGTTGGTCACTCCCTTGAATTGCTCCCTCGCTGCCGGATGCTAGGCCAGCCTTGAGCGGGAGAACCAGACACTGTGTACTCAGCAGGGGGAGTCAGGACTTAGCGCTAACCATTGCACCTGGGGCTAGGAGCCAGCGCCGGAGCCAGGAGGCCCGCTCGGCGGCTGCAGACGCTGTGACGGCCACCTGGGGGCGGCCACGTGAGCGCCACGCCGTGAGCCCGCCAGGCCAGCCCCGCCCCTGCCCGCCTGCTTCTGCTCAACCTAGCCCAGCCCTAGCTCCAGCCTCAGCTCCCCTCCTGCCCGGATCGAGCGCCCGCACTCCCGGCCCTGCAGCCACCCGAGTCCCGCTCGCTGTAGCCTGCACGCGAGTCCCTGGCACGCGCCTCTCGCATCCCGGGATCGTCCTAGTGGCCCCCGCGCCCTTCCTGGGATCACTCCGGCGGCCCCGAGCCCCGGGATCGGTCCATCTGCCCCGCGTGGCCCCAGCTGCGTGCCCGGAGCGCCAGCCAGCGCGCCCCGCTCTCCGCTCCCCGGCACTCTCGGGGGGCCCGCCCGCCCTGCACCCTGGAGCTCCGGGCCGCGAGCCTCTGCCAACTCCTCTGGATCCTTGCGGCCGTGAACAGCGGCTGCCGCGCCTGTCTGCCCGAGGGAGGTAGGTGTGGACGGCGGCCGCCAAGGCTGTGGGGGGCTGGGAGCGGGCGCTGCAGGCGTCTGGAGCGTGCTGGGTCTGGGCTTGGGAATGGGGCCGGAGAAGGCATGGAAGGAGAGTGTGGGGGCGCTTCTCCTCTGGTTGTTAAACTCTCTGGGGCTCAGTGCTTGCTTTGGTGAAATGGGGAAGTTGTGCGGATTAACGGCGATGTGGATATGGAAAGCACTTGGCAAGCAATGGGCGGTGATCTGGCTGCAAGTGACAGATAGTTTGGGGGCCTCTGCCCGAGACGCCCTCGGGGCCCCTAGGAGGGTGGGCGTATCGCTGCCTTCCTGTCCCCTGCAGGGCTCAGAGCCACATCCCCCACCCTTTCCCCTGACCTAGAGGCCTGCGTCTGCCCTAATTCCCGGAACCTCCAGGACTGTGTAGACGCGCCCTTGCAGCATTGTTGGCTGCGGGAGTTCGCTTGTTGGCAGGCGCCGCCGACTTGTGCGCCAAGGGGCTGGGCATTAATAAGCCGGTGGCCGCGCAGGGGTGGGGGCCTCCTGGGTAAGCCCCGGCCTAGATCCTAGATCCCCCGGCCTGGGGGATTTCGGGGAAACAGCCCAGCTGCTCCCTGAGTGTGACAGATGGGCCGCATGGGGAAGTGAGATCTGCCCAGAGGGACGGTCCTAGGGACCCCGACCTCTGGGACCTCGGTGGTGGGCGCTTCTTTAGCCAGGAAAGCAGGAAACACTAGGGCTGGAGTCCTGGGTTGGAATTCTAGCTCATTTGTGCTCTCTGGCCCTCGGTTTTCTCATCGGTAAAATGGGTACAGTATTAGTATCTACCACTTGGTGTCCTTGGAAAAAGTAGATGAGTATGTATATGTCAGGTGCTTGAAACAGTGCCTGGCACACAGTGTGATAGTCTGTGGCCCCGGGAGACATCTGATAGCCAAGGGCCCTATGGTCAAGGGCCCTGGACAGGCTGTGAAGTCACAGGGAATTGAGTCACCTAGTCTATCCTAATGTTTTTACCGAGGAGGAAACCGAGGGTCAGAGTGATCCCCAAGCCCACAGAAGCTCCCTCAGAGGAAACCAGTCACATAAACAGATTCTAAAAAGCGAGATGGAGTAAATGGGAATACAGAGCAAACAGGTGGGAGCTGAGAATGCCCACTGTGGGTGTAAAGGGGAGAGGGTGATGTTTAAGCTGAGCTGGGAAGAGGCAGGTGGAAGGAAGGGTAGAGTTCAGAGATGGCGTATGCAGGTGTCTTCCTTCTCTGTGGCCTCCACAGCACTCGATGTTCATTCCTTTGTTCAGCTATTAATTCAACAAATACAGTAAAACCTCTCAACGACATGAATTTCAGTGTAACATGGCTGGGATTGGCGTCCGCCCTCCGCTCAGCCCCGTTTCTCAAAGAAGTGGGTGCGGTCCGAAGTTCTTACCCTCTGCAGGGAATGGGGAGGCCAGAAGTCAGAACTGAGATGATCACAGTTTACACATAATGGTGTACATTTTAAGAGCTACCGGTTTTTTGGGCGAGGGGCGCGGTGGCTCAGGCCTGTAATCTCAGTACTTTGGGAGACTGAGGTGGGTGGATCACCTGAGGTCAGGAGTTTGAGACCAGCCTGGCCAACATAGGGAGCCACCATTTCTATTAAAAATACAAAAATTAGCTGGGCATGTAGGCATTAGCCTGTAATCCCAGCTACTCGGGAGGCTGAGGCAGCAGAATCGAGAATCGTTTGAACCCAGGAGGCATAGGTTGCAGTGAGCTGAGATGGCACCAGTGTACTCCAGTCTGGGCAGCAAAGCGAGACTCTGTCTCAAAAAATAAAATAAGAAAGATCCGGCCGGGTGCGGTGGCTCAAGCCTGTAATCCCAGCACTTTGGGAGGCCGAGATGGGCGGATCACGAGGTCAGGAGATCAAGACCATCCTGGCTAACCCGGTGAAACCCCATCTCTACTAAAAAATACAAAAAAACTAGCCAGGCGAGGTGGCGGGCGCCTGTAGTCCCAGCTACTCGGGAGGCTGAGGCAGGAGAATGGCATAAACCCGGGAGGCGGAGCTTGCAGTGAGCTGAGATCTGGGGACTGCACTCCAGCCTGAGCCAGAGCGAGACTCCGTCTCAAAAAAATAAATAAAATAAGAAAGATCCACCATTTTTTTTCTTGTGCTTTTTGTAACTGTACAGTACTTTTTGGCTGATTAAGGATATATCACTGGCTGGGTGCGATGGCTCATGCCTGTAATCCCAGCCACTCTGGGAGGCCGAGGCGGGAGGATTGCTTGAGCCCAGAAGTTCAAGACCAGCCTGGCTGACAGGGTGAAACCCGGTCTCTATTTAAAATTTTAAAAAATCGCTGATTTGCTTTTAAAACATTTTACTGTATTATGTGGCAGAGAAAGCTATGGGTCACCAGTAGTATCCATGTTCTCATCCTCCTGGGGCGCTCCCTGGATGAATTTTCCCAGGCTCCCTTATCATTCAATAGGGCCACAAAGCTGAGTTTTCGCTGATGAAACGTGTGTCCATTTCAAGCCTCGACCCTAAAAACCTCTCATTCTTTCCTCATTTGTTGGACAAGTCAAGGGGACTTTGAAGGCCTAGAGGAGGGCAGAGCCTCAAGCCAGAAGGAACATTTTCTGTTTTTTGTTTTTGAGATGGAATCTTGCTTTGTCACCCAGGCTGGAGTGGAGTAGTGCGATCTCAGCTCACTACAACCTCTGCCTCCCAGGTTCAGGTGATTCTCCTGCCTCAGCCTCCTGAGTCTGAGCTGGGACTACAGGCGCATGCCACCATGCTCAGCTAATTTTTGTATTTTTAGTAGAGACGGGATTTCACTGTGTTGGCCAGGCTGGTCTCAAACTCCTGACCTCACGTGATCCACCCACCTCTTTCTAGTGCTGGGATTACAGGCGTGAGCCACCACGCCCACCCAGGAAGCCCGGGAAGGGTGTCTTTAGGGTTGTTATCTTGTGTGGGAGAGTCCCCAAAGCAGTCTCGTTCCGTCTTTGGCAGGGTTGGTGTCTGGTTGCTGGGACTCTGGGAGCTATGAGAAGAAAGCCAAGGGTGAACAGCGGAAGCTTGGACTTGTTCAAGCTCATTCTCCAGGATTCACTATTTCTGGTCCAGTTCTTACACCTGCAGCAGAACAACTGAATGATCAGGGCTATAGCCAAAGTTATAGCAGCTGGTTGAACTAATGTAAAAGAATCAAAGTGTTTTTTGTTGAGGAAGATTGGTTCTGCTGACGTAAAAGCTGCGGGTCATTACCCCAATGAACTGAGAAGGCTCCTAGAAGGTGGTTAGAGTGATGACTTTGTCTACACCTGGGATGAAGGCGGCCTGGGCCTTAAAGTGTTGCTAGATCAAATGCTTGCAGCTGAGGCTGATGAGCACAAGCAAGGAGGCTTCTTTTTTATTGTTGTTTTGAGACAGGGTCTTGCTCTGCACACAGGCTGGGGTGCAGTGGCACGGTCACAGCTCACTGCAGCCTGGAATTCCTCGGCTCAAGTGATCCTCCTGCCTCAGCCTCCCAAGTAGCTGGGACTACAGACATGAGCTACCACCACGCCTGGCTAACTTTTAATTTTAGTGTAGAGATGGGGTTTCACTCTGTTGCCCAAGCTGGGCTTGAACTCTGGGCTCAAGCAGTTCTTCTGCCTCGGCCTCCCAAAGTGTTAGGATCACAGGCATGAGCCGTGCCCAACCGTAAGAAGGCTTCACACAAAGGAAGGAATGAGTCACTAACACGCTGATGATAAAGCAGAAGATAACAGTCCCCCCCACAACCCCCAAAGTCCCAGGGCTGTGGAACTCCTAGAGAAGCGTTTCAAATGGCTGCAGAGTCAGAGGGTGGATGGCGTTCTGTTCTCCAGCTGTGAAGCTTTCGAGATCTAGCAAGGACTAGCAAGCCAGAGGAAGCACCTGGAAGTAGGTGGCTAAACTGAAGAAAATTGCCCTAGGCCAGTGTTCCTCTAACTTCAGTGCATACCAGCATCCCCAGGAGGACTTGCTTACACTTTGATTGCTGGACCCATCCCCAGCGTTTAATTTAGTAGGTCTGTAGTAAGGCTTGAGAATTTGCATTTCCAGCAAGTTGCCAGGTGAGGCTGCTGCAGTGGCTGCAGTGGCTGCTGCGGCAGCTGGTCCCATACTTTTAAAAGCGCTGGTTAAGGAAGCGATGACTGCTTTGAAAGCCCTGGATTCAGCCCGCACCAGCTTCAAACCCAACTCTAGTCATGTGATTTGCGGCAAGTCACATAACCTTTCTGTTCCTTAGTTTTCTCATCTGTAGAGTGAAGCTAAGAGCGACTACCTCCTGGGGTTCAGGGGAGGCTTCCTGGAGAAGATGGCATCTAAGCTGAGACCTGAGGGATGAGCAGACAAGTTGGCCAGGGGATGGATAGGACAGGCTGGGGTGTGTACCAGACAGAAGGCATAGCATGTTCAGAGCCCAAGGAGGAAGGAGCACATGCCTTCTAGGGAGCTGAGAGGAGTTATGTAGCAAGTGCTTTGTAAGTGATACTGAAATGCTACCAATCTGTGCTGGGCAGGATTGCAGTGGAGAGGAAGCCAACCAGGGCATGGAAAATGGGTTGCTGGATGGACTGAGACATAGTACAAGTTATTTGTGCTCTTCTTTCATTGGCCAGAATGCAGTCACATGACCTTACCTAGCTGCAAGGGATGCTGGGAAACGTAGTCCCTGGCCTGGCAGGGGAGAAAGGATTCCTGGAGGAAAGCCAGCTCTCTGTGCCACTGTGGTTTTCAGGTCCCCTCTCTCACTTCTTCTCCACCTTGCTCACTTTGCTCTGCTCTGTTGGGTTAATGAATTTTACAGATGAAGAAGCTGAGGTTCAGAGAGGTTAAGTAATTTCCCCAGCATTCCTCAGCTGATTGTGACAGGGCCAGGAATTGAATTCATCCCAAAGGCCTTGTTTGGCTAGATCTGGTTTTGATGCTTTTCAGATCCTCCATGAGCCAGTCTTTCCCACTACAGCCTCAGC